CTAAGAAGTGCAGCCCAAATCATGCGCCTACTTTTTAGGGTTTAGGGTTTAGGGGACCTCCCAAATACACAGAACAGTAGCCAATAGCACCGAAATTGTGGGTATATAGACAGATACTCTAGATATTTCAGGGGTCTATAGTCCCCCTCAAGTACATAGAATATGGTGTATATGGGGATCTTTTTATAGTATACCCAAACCCATATTCTATCTACTTAAGGGGGACTATAGGTCTATGACACATCGCTTAGGCCCTAGACAGCGAGGGGTCAGGGTTCGTTGATTAATCCTGACGTTCCCGAACCCTTCAAGCCCAAGCAAAGAAGCAACCTCAACCCCAAAAATATGTAGAATAATAGCTTCTTGCGCTGTCTTTTGTTCTAAGGTTTGGGCCTTTGACACATATATATATATATACATATCTGCTTGGGAGGCTCAGGATATTCCAACCCAAGCGCTCAATCCTTCCCCGTTCTTTTTCGTCACCAACGTGTTACTCTCAAGTGCTTGCAACCAAGACCCTTAAACACCCTGCCCCAAATAAGGCTTAAGTGTCATCCCGATCCCGTACTCCTCCAACCCAATCCCTAGGAATAGGATCCCATACTACCCTAGCCTAGCCTGACATCCCCCCAGCTTTCAATGCTCCTTAATTAAAAGCCTTTAAGCTCGAAACCCTGAACGGATGGCCTTTAACCCTAAACCCTAGCCACGTGGTGTAGGGTTTAGGGTTTAGGTTTTAGGGTTTAGGTTAGGAGGACCCCTCCACCCTGTACTACTGGTATAATGCAAAATTATTAGTAACCTAACATAATCCTTTATCAATTATCGTCACTATTCCTGCGTGGGGGGGGGGTCTTTAACGGTTTAGGGTTTAAGGGTTTAGGGTTTAGGGTTTAACGGTGTAGGGTTTAGGGTTTAGGGTTGAGAATACTCGGAGCAACATCATTTCCTGCCATGGACTCTGGTATTTCATGAGCAGAACTTGTTTCACCTTGACAAACACAAACACCCCAAAGCCCTAGAACCCAAGACTTGGACCCTAAACCTAAAGCCTAAAGCCTGCCAAAATCCCAAACCCTCAAACCTGCCTAAATCCTGAACCCTAAAACCTGCCTAAATCCTGAGCACTACAACCTGCCTAAATCCTATGGCCTAAACCTTTCGAATCCTGAACCCTAAACCTTAAATCCTAGATTCAAAATTGACAGATGGGGCAGCCGGCCGGCGGCTCGAATTTTGCGGGAGCCAGCGCTGCAGTTGGGAGCTGAGTTAAGGGTCCCTTTAAAGGGGTGCATAGTGGGAATATAGGGGTATATAGGGGGAATGGAAAAGAAAATGGAAACTACTATTTAGGCTTTGGGGGCTTAAGGCTTTAGGGTTTAGGAATTGGGGTTAAGGGCTTAGGGTTCTGATGTGGGGTTTAGGGTTCAAGTCCCCAGCTAGCAAGCGTTTCTGACTTAAACCTTCAAGTGCTAAAGCCTTAAGCCCTAAAACCCTTAACTCCATGTTCTGAATGGTATTGATGAACCCCAGATCCTACACCCTAAACCTGAAGCCCTAAACTCCAGACCCTAAACTCCGAACCCCAAACGTCTAAACCTGGGCACATTAAGCCAACCAGGGTTCCTGCAGGTCTGGCTTGTGCTTCCACGGCTTTCTTTTCTCGGGTAGGTTAAAGATTCGTGGTTTTGGTTTAGGGTTCAGGGTCTAGGGTCTAAACCCGTATCCTAAACCCTAAATCTTTGGTAGGGTTCAGGTGTTGGTTGTTTGGGTTCAAGCTGCTTTGCTTTCCTACCTGGACTGAACCCCAAACCCCAATCCCTAAACCCTTAAAAACCCTAAAACCTGACCCTAAACCGAAGGAATGTAGTTTTGCCTCGGTGGGGCTCGGAGCTCTAGGACTAGGATGATTTTTGTCTTGGGGGTACAGTGGGTTGGGGTTTGGGGTTTAGGGTTTGGGGTTTAGGGTTTGGGGTTTGGGGTTTAGAGTTCTAGGGTTCTAGGCTCCATGAAGGATGCGGGGTGGGGCAGACGATTCAGGATTCAGGTCTTGGGCTTTAGAATTTGGGGTGTAGGGCTTAGTCTTTCGCCCGGCTGCATGGCAAATCTGCATCATCATGCAAGGGCCACATGAGCTACAGTCTCAACTCCTTTTGGGGGTTGTATATGGAAGTATGTAGGGAAGTTCCATTTGGGTTATTAATAAGGGAAATACTAGGAGTTTAGACTAGAGCTCACCCTGTTCCACAGATTATTGAGGGTTGCCGGTTAGCGTCAGTGTGAGCGGGATTGAGATTGTCCACTTAGGTACCCTAAATCCTGAACCCTAAGCCCTAAACCCTAAACCCTAAGCCCTAAGCCCTAAACCCTACCCTAAACCCTACACCCTAGGTTTAGTGTTCCGGGATGAAGGAAGGATTTTGTGTTCAGAGTGGTATCACCATGTCAATGAACCCTGAACCCTAAACCGTCGAACTCGGAATTTAGGGTTTAGGATTTTAGGGTTTAGGGCTTGGGATCAGGCAGTTGCAGCAAGTGTCAGTCCTGGTCTCCAAAAGCAAGTAAAATGGTGGCCCAGAGGCTTCAAAACCAGCCCAGAAGCCCTAAGCCCTAAAACGCAAACTCTTTCAGGTCCAGGCTGTTCTACACTTGAGGTACAGGATATGATGTATGCATGGAGAGCAGAACAACCGTGGAAGAAAGAAAATGTGGAGCGGCCATGTCCGCGTTGGTGTTAAGAAACTGAATTTAAGTTACTATCGTATGGGCACGTAGTTCGCTATAGTGTTTCCTTACTACAGAAATTTGAAAACCGTTTACAACAACCCAGATGATAGAATGGGTTTTCTCAAGAAGCAATTGCCTGAAGTCTCACACGACCTGACGTCTCTAATAAGGGCTACACGTTTTCGCTTGGTTTTGTTTTTAGTTTCAAGTGTTGCAGGTTGTTGGGGTTCAGTTTGGGTAGCGTAGTCCAGGCGCCAGAGTTTTTTGACTTCGATGTTTTGTTTTGGGCTTCAGAAGAATTCATATTTGCCTGTAGTGATGCTAGGTTGCATGAGGAGAAGACGTTTTGTGGATCTGCAAAGATTATCTGGATTTTTTTTGGTTCAGAAATATCCCCCACAAAAAACACATGTACACCTTGCAGGGGACTCCATGCTCCTTTGATAGAACCTACATCATTTCCTGGGGTCCCCAAGATTACGCCTCTTTTCAGGAAACGCGATGCTGATGAAGCCTGAATGGTTCCCGACATTATCCCTAAACCCCCAAACCCTAAACCCCTTAATCCTTAAACCCTAAGACCCTAAACACTAAAACCCTAAACTCTTAAACCCCCTAGATTCTTTGTACAATTGAAGTACAGGGTAGCGTCAGCTGCTTGGATTCCTCAGTGCTTCCCGCCTGTTCTCAAAAATAATCTTCCTCTGTTCTCAGAAAAGCCAAAACCAAGGGTTCGAGGGATTTAGGGTTAAGGGAGTTTAGGGGTTACAGATTTACATTTGTTAGCTTAAAGGTTCTGGGTTTCTTAGGGTGTTGGGTTTTGTTTGAGTCCTCGTTGGTGGGGTCTACTCGAGGAGGTCTTAACTATGGGGGTACTAGGAGTGTAGACTAAACATGAACAAGCTCGTGAAGCTGTTACATTTTCACTTTTTACTTTCTTTTGAGGTGTTCCAATGGTGTGTAGAACAGTTGTCTTGTTTTGGCTTGTTTACCGGTGCTATGGCTTGACGTACTCTTCAGGTGTAGGTTGTACCACTTCGTAGTTCACATAGAATCCCGTTTGATAATTTTGCTGAGTTGCTGTTAAGGAACTCAAAGTAAGTTACCATACTATGGGCATCTAGTAAATAATAGGGTTTCCTTGTTATAGTAAGTAAATTTGAGGTCCTCAGCAGCAACCCAGGTTTAGCAACCCATTCCTTTATATCCTACGAGCCTTTCAGAACAAAAAATGCCAAGACCGTAAACCCTCAGCCCATCGGAGCCCCAGTACTACCTAAACCCCAGAAGCAGGTTGGATTATGGCCCAAAACCCTTACAAACAGCCCAAAAGGCCATTAGTATACATATTTTTGGGGGATTTAGGTACTCTACTTCCCAACGAAGAAGCCATGTCCTTCACTGCTTTCAGTTCTTAGGATGGCTCTTGTGCCTATGGCCCCAAACAGAGCAACTACGTCTAGTCCCCCTTCAATAGATAGAATATAGCTTGGGGTATATTATAACAAGATCCCCAAGTATCCCATCTTCTATCTACTTAAGGGGGACTATAAACCCTCCCTATAGATCCTAAACCCTAAGCCCTATATAACCCATTATAGTAGTTTCCATTTTCTTTTCCATTAACCCCCTTTTCTATCTACTTAAGGGGGCTGTATCCCTACAGAATTTAGGGTCCCAAGTCGATATGGTAGTTTCCCGAAATAAGGGGACCCCAATATAGACCCTAATATACTATAGTCCTTATTATAGGGACCCCCAAAAAGGTACCCCTAATTTTGGGAAACCCCCCATATTATCCGAAGATTTGATTGGATCTTTAGATTTTTCTGAAGCAGCCATGCTGGATGTCCGTACACTGTCTGGTGACGTCTTGGCCAGCGTGCCGGTGGAGGTCTTCACTGATGTTAGAAGCTTCTTGTGGGGGACTTTACTTGGTTGCTGTTAAGGAACTTAAACTCAGCTGCCATAATAAGGAAACCCTATTGTTTACTATATACCCATCGTATGGTAACTTAGACTTAGTTTGAGTTCCTTAACAGCAACCCAGTTTAAGCTTTAGCGTTTAAACGTATCTGAGGTCAGCCTTTTGATATTGAGGGAGTTAACGGTTCAACTATAATGGGGACCAATAAGCAGAGCTTTGGCTTGATCTTGGGGTTATCAAAGGGTTTAGGGTTGAGGTTAATGTAGGGACTATATAGGGCACATTGGGGTCATTAAAGGTTTCTGGCTTAGGTTAATCTAGGGATTATATAGTGCAGCCCAAGGCTTGAAGCAGCATCTGCACAGGAACCACGGCTGCCCCACGCGATTCCGGCAGCGGATCTTACAAGGGGGCTCCACCCTACAGGATGAGACCAAGCTGTACACCCTTGTGAACGTACCTGTGGCTCTATGTTGCACAAGCATAAGTTGACATGGAACCTAAAAAAGGGGCCCTACAAAGACTACTGGAGGGTTCCATGTTACCTTTTTTGGGAGGGTAGCTTCGTAGCTTTTGCTCTTTCATTCCCAGGTACCATCCCTTCGGCTGTAGGAAAGAGGTAGTTTCCCAAAATAGGTGGGCCCCAATATAGACCCCAAAACATTATAATCCTCATTATAGGGACCCCAAAAAAGTAACCCTAATTTTGTGAAACCCCAAATGCCCTAAACCCTATATCACCCCTATGTGCCCCTAATTTTGGTAACCCTTTTGGGAACCCCAAATGGACTTCCAGGTACAGCTCATTTTGCTGGGCTTCTCCAACACTGCTTCCACTCAAGTGGAGAAGCTGGTCAGAGCAGCCGGGCACGGCCCTGTAGCTCAGGCTGGGAGTTAGAGTTTAGGGCTTAAGGATATAGGGCTTAGGCTTCAGGGTTTCGGATTTAGGGTCTAGGGCTTGGGGTTCAGGGTTCAAGGTTTTAGGATTCAGGGCTTAGGGATTCGAATCTTTAATCGACACTCTCATAATCCCTCTGCATTCCTTTGTTTAGGGCCCTATATAACCCCTATATATCCCTTTATAGCCCCTATATAACCCTTTTCACGCCTTGTAAAGAATACCCTTATACCCCCCATGTTTTAGGGTTCAGAAGCCCGAAGGTCGAGGATCTATTGCAGCTTCCGCTAGACCCAAACTTGGCCGACGCGCAGGTCCAAGACTTTAGGGTTTGGGGTCCCTAAGCCCTTAACCCTAAACCCTTGTACCGTAACGGCTTGCAGCGTTGGGTTTTGGACACCAGGGCTATATCCCCTGATTAGGGATCCATGCCCCCCAGTCACCTACCCTAAGGGTATAGGGTTCAGGGTTTAAGGTATAGGGCTTAGGGTTTAAGGTATAGGGCTTAGGGTTTAGGGTTCAGGGTATAGGGTTTCAAGGTTTAGGGGGTTTAGGGTACCAAGGAAAGGAAAACTCCCTGACCAGGGCCAGACTCCTCTAGCGGCTGCGTGCCAGCATGGCCGAAAGGAGACGGCCAGTTTCTTCTTCGTGGTTAGTTGGGAGTGGGGTACTGGGATATCAAGGGAGTATCGCGGTGGTTTCCATACCCGAAACCCTGAGGGTCCCAGTACCCGGAGAACAGGATTTTGCATCCTCAAACTCTCTATTCTGAATGGTTTTGCGGCGCTGAAATCCCATTGCTGGGTACAGGGCCCTTCGGGATATTGGTATTGCGCACAGAAGTCATCCCCTGACAGTCCCTGCATACCGCTTGGGTCCCTACACAAGTCCCATAGGAACTATTCTAGTCTAAGGCGTGAACTATGAGCATTTAGTATGGATCCTTATATACCTGTTACATACCTTACAAAAATGCCGAATCCCAATTAAGGGCCTGCAGTTGGTACCACGGAATCAGGTAAGTAAGGGCCTTAAAGCATGACATTAAGCATAGGGGTCATGAACCACGAGCCCTAGAACCCTAAACCCTAAACCCCTGAACCCTAAACCTTAATCCCTAAACCCCAAACCCTAATCCCTAAACCAAAAACCCCTAAGCCCTACTAGCTAGACCTTCTCCATCTTCCTAATGAAGCCGTGGGGAAAGGTTTGCTGCTGGAGGCCGGCGGAGACAAGGACCAGGCTTCTGTTATAAGGAACCTAAGAATCCTTTTCAAATTAAATGGGTTTTAGGACTTTTGGTTTAGGGTTTAGCGTTTAGGACTTTTGGTTTAGGGTTTTGGGTTTAGGCCTTGATTTAAGCTTGAGGGTTTAGTTTTTTTCGTTTAAGGTTGAGGGTTTAGGGCTTAGGGCTTTGGCTTTAACGTTGAGGGTTTGGGGTTTAGGGCTTTGGTTAAGGTTTAGGGTTCAGGGCTCTGGGTTTAAGGTTGCGGGTTTAGGGGTTGGGGTTTGCTGTGAGTTACCGTGCACGCAGTGATGATTATAGGTGTCAACGATCTTTCAAGCGCATGGCTCAATGCGAGGTGCTGCCATTGCCTGACTGTAGAAGGCCATCTAACACAATCACCCACCCCACGCGGTCTGAATCTCCCAAACCACCCAAACCTATTCCTTTTAGGTTTAGACCTAAACTCAGTTATGTCCATCTTGGTCAAAAACACAAATTCATTTCATTTGGTGTTTCTGTTGTTGAAGGGATCTTGAAGCTTCTTGGAGGCCCCTTACAAGTGTCTGGAGGCCCTGGAAGGTTTCTTGTGGGGTCTGGACGCTTTTTGGAGGCCTTTTGAGCTGAAAGGTTTTCCTGAAGGCCCTAGAGACGCCTCAAAGGTCCTGGAGGCCGGCATCAAGGCTCTTGCCTGAGAACCTCTCTCAGTGGAGGTTTCTGGGGTCTCGTTTTTGGTGTTTTTGATTGTTTTGGGGTGCAATAAAACATTTTGAGCCGCTGCCGCCCCCTCCAGGCTCTTTGGCCTCCTAGTCCCGAAATTCGCTCGCCTGAAAAAAAACCAGCTCGCCTGGAAAAACCAGCCAGCCACCTCCTAAATTCTTTATGAAGCAAGCAGGACTGGTTGAAAGGAGAATAGGTTCCGGTAACAGACTATCCTGGGTGCTAACGACCTCGTGGCTGTGCTGAGGCGGAGCCGGCTAGGTCGGTCTGCCTGAGGGATTCAAAGGGCATAGGCGCTGCCCACCATCGTAGGTGGGCGGCCTACGCCTTGAACGTTTGGTTTTTAAGGTTTTGAGCTTTGGGTTCAAGGTTGAGGGTTTAGGGTTTAGGGCTTTTAGTTTAAGGTTTAGGGTGTAGGGTTAGGGGCCTAGGGGGTTTATAGGGACTAGGCTATATAAGGATTCTATATAGAAAGTACTGGGTGAAGTGCCCCGACTGGAGAACAAAAAGGAAAATGACATGAAACCGTAAAACCTAAACGCTAAAACCCTAAGCCCTAAACCCTAACACCCTAAAACCCCAAACCTTATATCCTAAACACCCAAAGCGCAGAGGACTTGGCTTTCAATGCGGGCTGGACGCCTCTGATGATTGCATCCCGAATGGGCCAGGGGGATGTGGTGCAACTGCTCTTGGAGGCTCTGTGAGGGTTATATAGGGGATAATTAGGGTTCAGGGATTAGGCTTTGGGTTGAGGGTTTAGGGTTATAAAGGGGATTCTATATGGGAGCTTTATAGGGGAGATGACAGGGGATACGAGGATTTTCGACTGTAGCTCATGGGCTTCAACTGCTCTTGGAGGCTATGTTACTAGCATCATTATTCTTATGGTCATTCGTATTAGATAATTTAATATAAAGACTATTGTCGTTTATCACATTTACTGGCATTATTTGGAGGCTGGTGCAGACCTGGACCTAGCAAACAACGGCGGCTACACAGCCCTCATCGTGGCGTCCCACGCAGGCCACGCTGAGATTGTAGGCTTGCTCGTGGCAGCAGGTGCTGACAAAGATCGCGTAAGCACTCGCGGCACAGCTCTGATGGTCGCAGCTCTACGCGGCCACAGACGAACAACGCACTTGCTGTTGGAGGCCAGGGCTGCGCAAAATCTGGCAACTGATGATGGGACGACAGCTCTAATGATGGCGTCCCACTCGGGAAAGGTTGAACTTGTAAGTTTGCTCTTGGACGCTGGTGCTGATACGGATCAGGTTAACAAGCAGGGCTGGAGTGCTCTCATGGCGGCATCCCAACAAGGAGAAGTAAATTGTGTGGATTTATTGCTTCAGGCAGGTGCGCGCAAAGATCTGGGGGACAAGGACAGGGTCACAGCCCTCTTCACTGCCGCAGAAGAGGGTCAGGCGGAGGCTGTCCAAATCTTGCTGCAGGCTGCTGCTGACATTAATTTTGCTGCTGCAGATGGCTCCACAGCTCTCAGCATTGCAGCTCGCAGGGGTCACTACAAGGTGGTTGTCCCAGTGCATTTCCTCAATACAGTGACTCCCGAACCCCCATGTGTCCCATATCTACTCCTATGTGGCAGTTTCCCTAAATAGTAAGACCCCAATGTAGACCCCAAACTACTACGATCCGTATGATCGGGACCTCCGAAAAGGTACCCGTAATTTTGGGAAACCCCAGTATCCCCTCTTTTAAAAAATACCAGGTGGTACACTTGCTACTGCAGGGCGGATCGGAGAAGGAAGTGCCAAACAGCGAGGGCTGGACGGCCTTGATGCTGGCATCGCAGGACATCAAGTTACCAGAGTATGGATATATCATGAGCCATAATCTAGACACCTTAAAGGGGGTTATATAGTAAGGGACTACTATAGGGGTCATAAAGGCGGATATTAGGGGTCTCTAGACTATAGCTCATATATATATATATATGTTGGTACAGATATATTGATAGTAAGAAATGGGGTTTCCCAGGCCCTAAGCCTCAAACCCGACTTGGAATTCCTTGACCCTAAACCCCTAAACCCTAATAGCAAATTCGAGGAAGGGCATGCTTCGGTTGCTCGCCTGCTCGTGGAGTTTGGGGCTGCGCTGGACGTGGCCAATAGCTACTGGCTTGCCCTTAAGGAGCTTCGGGACTTAGGGCTTGGGGTTTAGGGTTTAGGGTGGTTTTAGGGTTTAGGGTTTAGGGTCGTTGCGAAGGAACTGGAACTTATAGATTAAGTCACCATGATATGAGTATATAGGAAATACTTTATTAGGGTTTCCTTACTATAGTAATTTAACTTAAGCTCAATAGCTACTGGGTTGCTGTTAAAGTCCCCCTATCACCCCTCCCTTAAAAATGATTGCAGGGGGGTGGGGGGGGTTAATGATTGGGAAATCCTGCAATCATTTCCTACCCTCCAGAAATGATTGCAGGGGGGTCGGGGGGGTCCTCATGTATATCACCGTAGGACGCCAAGTTTCGAATAAGTAAAGACAATTCAACAGAAAATATAACTATTATTAGATAAGATTTATTAATGCTCGGAAACCCCAGAAATGATTGCAGGGGTGTCGTGAGGGTCTTCATGTATATCACCGTAGCACGCAAAGTTTCGAATACGTATAGACAATTCAACAGCAAAAATAGATAAGAAGAATCAACAAAACGGACAGCTGATGGATGCTCTTGCATATATTGCATGACCTTACTTCTCATTGAGCGCCGGTGCTCAAACTGTCAGCTACGTCTTTTTCGAGAGCGTTCGCTGCTGCAAAACAGCACAAAATGGCTGCATACCTGTGCCCACATACAACAAGCCATTTTCCTGGCCCTCCCTGTTTTCTTTCGCGCAAACAAAACCGAAAATGGCTGTTAGAAATGGCTTCTCGGATGTACCGCCCCCCACCCCCCCACAAGGAAATCCAGGACATGGACTGTCAGAAAAATTGTTACGGAATCTTGGGGGGCCCCTCCCCCCCCTGCAATCATTTCCTGTACCCCCCGGAGCCTTCGTAGGTTCCCTGCTATTCCCAAATTAGTTCGGACAAATTAGGAAAACCAGGAGAAGGGAAACACCGAAAAAGTGATTGCAGACCCCTGGGGACCCGACCCTCCCTTGCAATCATTTCCTGTACCCTGCAGAGCCTTCCAAGCCCGCTCCTCCCAAATGCGCTACTCCCAAACGCCTTAGCTAGGAAACATTAGGAAATCCAGGAGCAGGGACCCACGGAAAAAATGATTGCAGACCCCACCCCCCCTTGCAATCATTTCCTGTGCTCCCCAGACCCTTCCTAGGTTCCCTGCTACTCCCAAATTTAGCGATTCCCCGCTACTCCCAAATGCATTAATTAGGAAACGTTAGGAAAACCAGGAGCAGGGACCCACCGAAAAAATGATTGCGGACCTCTGGGGACCCCACCCCCCCTTGCAATCATTTCGTGGGCCCCCTAGAGCCTTCCTAGGTTCCGCGCTACTCCCAAATGCGTTAGCTAGGAAACATTAGGAAATCCAGGAGCAGGGACCCACCAAAAAAATGATTGCTGACCGCTGGGGCCCCACCCCCCCTTGCAATCATTTCCTGTTCCCTGCAGAGCCTTCCCAAGTTCCCCGCTCCTCCCAAATGAGTTAGCTCGCAAGCATTAGGAAAATCAGGAGCAGGACCCACCGAAAAAATAATTGTCCACCCCTGGCGACCCCCACCCCCCCTTGCATACCTCAAAGTTGATTTCCACATGTTTCCTAACTAAGGTATTTGCGGGTAGAAGCGAACCACACTAATTCTACTGCGCCGCCTCCTGATCCATCCGTCTGGAGCCCTAAATCCCACCCCCCCTTTCTGGACGCGACAAAGGGGGGGTTGGCATCTGCTAGCCCGGCGTCGCCCGCCTGTGTTCCCAGCCTCATCCTATCTTGTGTTTGTATCTTAGGATTTTACGTTCTCAAGGTCAGCACCCTGGGATTTATCACCCAGAGGGTCGCATCCAGATAAAACCCGGTGCTGAGCCTAAGTGTCAGTACAAACCTATTCTGGGGGGTAAGAGGAAATAATTCCCAGGAAATCCCAAGTACCTGGACCATCGATCCTTGTAGCAGTAGCAGTCGTCGCCGGATCCAGAGGCGCAGCAGTAGAGTTTAGTGAGTAGGAGTAGCATGTAGTAGCGGCACTATTCCTAATAATGGTGGCCTTACTCCCACTGCATTAAAGCACCTGAAGCATACTGTCTTGACATTGTTTGTTTGCATTGAAGACAGGAAGAAACTTCATCGGGAGTATAGTGATCTTGGTAGCCTACGGTAGCCTCATCCATTCTCATCCTCTGATTCAACGTGGATGTGCCTACGTGGGCTGAAATGATTGCACGACCCTTCGGGAAGGGGGGGGGGTCCCCCCTGAAATGATTGCAAGGGGGGGGGTTAAATCTCATAAGGAGGGGGGATGTCCCCCTTAAGTAGATAGAATATAGCCTTGGGTATACTATAATAAGATTTCCATATTCTCGAATATTCTGTTTACTTGGGGGGCATATAAGGGTTTAGGGGAAAGGGCCAAGAGCAACGGGGTTGCTGTTCAGGAGTTAGCAGCTGAGCGGAGGAAACATATTTCTCGGGTGATATATAATCCCATTGCAGTTAAAAGCCCTACACCCCTAAGCCCTACACCCGTAAGCCCTAAACCTTAAACCCTAAGCCCTAAGCCCTAAATCCTGAACCTTCAACCCTGAACCCTAGACCCGTAATCCTGAACCCAAAACCCAAGACCCTAAACTTTGCCTAAACCCTAGACACGGAACCCTAAACCAAAAGCCCCAAACCTCTCCCTCTATATGAGTTACATGTTAATGACCTAGGGGGCGAAAGTCATATATTGAGCGGGCAAGGTCATATGTTTAGTGGGCAAAGTCATGGGTGGGACCTAAGGACCCCAGGCCGGCTTTAGGGTTCAGGGCTTAGAGTTCAGGGTTCAGGGCTTTTAGTTTAGGGTTCAGGCCTGCGAGTTTAGGGTGCAGGGCTCAGAGTTTAGGGTTCAAGATGTAGAGTTTAGGGTATAGGTTTCTTAGTGATGTGGGACCCAATGGGCGGGTGGGTATCTTTCCATTCTTTGGTAACGCTGCTTAACAAGTGAATGCTTGGACTTGAGATGCTGAACCCTAAACCCTAAATCCTAAACCCTAAATCCTGAAATCCTGAACCCTAAACCCTGAACCCTAAACCCTTAATTTAAATCCTGAACCCTAAACCCTAAACTTTGCCCTAAACCCTAGACCCTGACCCTAAACAGAAAGCCCTAAACCCTGAACCCTAGACCCTTAATCCTGAACCCAAAACCCTAAACCCTAAACTTTGCCCTCAACCCTAGACCCTGAACCCCAAACCCTTAATCCTAAACCCTAAGCCCTAAACCCCAAACTTTGCCCGAACCTACGCCCTGAACCCTAAGCCCTAAACTCATGGCATAGGCCGCCCACCTTCGATGGTGAGCGGCGCTTACGCCCCTGGACATCGATGGCGCAGGTCGATCCAGCACGCTCGCCTTTCCACAGCTAGGGGTACGGCAGCACCCACAAGAGGCCAGGAAGGAGGAGTTCTCCTCGGGACCAGTACTGGTCCCGTATGAAGTCAATACCCTAAAGCCTACAGCCGAAAATCTGGAAGGCGGGGCTGTTTTTTTCCAGGGTGGATCCTGGAGAGTCCAAGACCTGGAATTTCGGGACCAGCAGGCCTGAGAGTATGGAGGGGGCAGCAAAAACAGCCCAGGCCCAGGGCGTCCCCACCCCTTCCAGCAGCCTCTTGGGTGGTTTGGCCGCTTCACACGCCGCAGATGGCCCTCCACAGTCCGGCCATGGAAGCACCGCGCATGCAGCCATGCACTTGAAGAGTCCTTGACACCTAACTCACAGCAAACCAAAAAGCCCTAAACCCTGAACCCTTAATCCTGAACCCTAAACCCTAAACCCTAAAAAACTTTGCCCTGAACCTTGAACCCTAAACTCTAAAGTCGACTTTTTTCCGCCAGGTAGCTAAGCAGCTTGGAGGAGCGCCATAACAAGGAAACGAGATGTACCATAGTAGGGTTAGGGTTTAGGGTTCAGGGTTTAGGTTTTAGGTTTTAGGGCCGCGTGGTTTAGGTTGTAGGGTTGCGGAAACCATGATTATTTGCGATATCATCAGGAAACCATATTTCGTACCTTGAGCCCTAAAATTACAAGCCCCAAACCCAAAGCCCTATACCCTAAAAGCCCAGAAGCGTAAGCCCGAAGCCTTAAACTCTAAAAGCCTGAGCCCTAAACCCCCAAACCCCAAACCCTAAAGCCTCCAGATGACAATCACCCAGGCCATGGCTGGGTAGCTCTGATGGCCGCATCTCAACAGGGCCATGTTGAGGTCGTGCGTCTTCTGCTGGAGGCTCGCGCCAACAAGGACCTTGTCAACCGGGAGAATCTAGATGCGTACTGAGCATGTTTTGGGCTTTTTGAGACAAAGTACTTGCACAATCCCCCCCATAAACATCTAAGAGTTAACGACCGTAATTCTTGCTATTGACATTACTGCATCATTATTGTTGTTTTTGGCGCGGGTTCCAGGGCATGTTCAGGAACAACTTCACCTCGTTGATGGCAGCATCTCGCAACGGTCACCATGAGGTCGCCCAACTGCTGCTAGCAGCTGCTTGGTACCTACAGCTTTGTAGTAAGTACACCTAACTTGCAGGTATAACCCATGACAACCGCTGGTACTTTACCACTTCATATTTCTTAGGAGACAAACAAATAGACTCTGATTACCCTAAGCTTATGATATGCACTCATTGGAGACAGCTTGACCAACATAATTAAAAAAAGTTGAAAAAAAGGTACAAAAAAAGTAATCCAAAAAGGTAAAGGTAAAAAAAAAGGTAAATCGTGGAACGTTAAGAAAGGTAAACAAAAATGTAAAAAAAATGTAAAAAAGGTAACCCGGATAGACAAAAGTAAAAGAAAAATGACATTTTACTCGTTTTTCCCGTTTTTCTACTGTTTTTTTCCTTTTTCGTACCTCTTCCGCCTCGAGCCAGGAAAATGCTTGGAAATCAGAAAAAGCAGTGTTCCTTTGCGAAAAGGTAGAAAAAAGTAGAAACACGGTAAAACAAAAGGTTTAAAAACAGGAAAAAATGTGTAAAAAAAGGTGGAAAAAAGGTAAAACAAAGGAAAAAAAAAGGTAGAAAAATTGCAAAGAAAAGCACTTTCATTTTTCTTTTACCTTTGTCTACCCGGTTTACATTTTTTTTAACCCTTTTTTGACCTTTTTTTACCTTTCTTAATTTTCCACGATTTACGTTTTTTGACCTTTACATTTTTGGATTACATTTTTTACCTTTTTGTCCACCTTTTTTTAAATTAACCTTTTCCTTCGTCTCCATAAGAGCAGGGGTTATAACCCTAAGCGCTGAAATCCCAAACCCTATGTAAAGCCTAAGCCCTAAACCCCTAAACTATAACTTAAACCCTAAGCCCCTAAACCCTAAAACCCTAAACTTCTAACCCTAAACCCCTAAACCCCTAAACCCCTAGCCCCTAAACCTTGAACCCTAAACCCTTAAAGGGGCAACCAAGGCTGGATCTGAAAAAGATCTGGTCAACAGCCAAGGTTGGACTGCGCTCATGGAAGCCTCTCACCAGGCCAAAGAGGGTTAGGGTTTAAGGGTTTTAGGGTTTAGGGATTTAAGGGTTTAGGGTCTAGAGTTTAAGATTTAGGATGTAGGGTTCAGGTTTTAAGGGTTGGTTCCAGTATGATCCCCATTAGGGCTTAGAGAATTAGGGCTTAGGGCCCTGGTGTGAATCAACATAGTCCCCAAGGGTCCTTAGAGGACAGGGTAGAAATCTGGGGGTAGAACCCTGGAACCCTTGACCAGGGACATCATTCGGCTGTGCTCTCGCTGCTGCAAGCCACTGCTTCGTTGAACTGGGCCTCCGCAAATGGCACAACTGCTCTGATGTTGGCGGCTCATAAGGGAAACCATCGAGTTGTAGGCCTGCTTTTAAAGGCCAGGGCGGATACAGACCCAGTTGATTGCAATGGCTTCTCCGCCCTTCAGCTGGCATCTCACCAACACCACGCTGAAGTTGTTGAGCTGCTAGAGCAGAAAGCGTTCGGTGAAGGACGGGGTCATAGGGTTAAGGGTTTAGGTTTTAATGTAGAAGCCCGAATACTTTCCCAAATCATGGAAACCAAGAATGGAGAATCAGTGAACAGGAAAATGAAAAATGCCATGGAAACGAGAGTTATAGATGGGATATAAGGACAGTTACCAAACCAATGGTCATAGATTCCTTGCATAACAATGGCATTGGAGACCTCTAGTAACTCTAGTAGACCCAAAAACCAGGAAACCTCAAACCAAAAACCTTAAACCCTTCACCAAACCCTAAACCCTGAAGTAGGGTCAGGGTCCACAGTTGAGAGTCGGGGGACCCGTCATATGGGCTTAGGGTTTAGGGTTTAGGGTCCTTAGTTTGTTTCATGGGGTTTCTTAGGGGCTCTAAGGGTATATGTAGCGTATCTACGAACTATGTAGATTTGAAAGCCTTAAACTCGGCCGGGACCCTTGGATCAAGGGCCCACAGTAGGGGCTTGTGGTTGGAACCTTAGATTGCAGACGCCCCCTCCGGTGGGGTTCGGGCGCGAGATTTGGCATTGGAGTTAGGGTTTAGGGTTTAAGGTGTAGGGTTTAGGGTTTAGATTTGGGCTTTGACTTTTGAATTTGCAGGGTTTAAAGGTCTCGGCGAAGGGGGCAGATACCAGAGCTGAAGGTATCAAACCAACTAGTTCCCGATTTTACACCCGTGAGATCCCTTACGCATTTAAAACAGAATATAACCATACTTAGCCAATAGAAGAACTTTAACCGTGGCCTGACTGCTTTCCCCATAGGTATCGTGTTTAGTTCGCTGTATAGTGGTTTACCCACGCAATAACGCTGGGGTAAGTCATCGACAAGGACTTGCTGTAACCTTTTTGGGCTTCCTTTTTGGGTCTATAATAAAGTTTGAACTTGCTTAGCCTGGCTATTGGAGGATAGAGTAACCCCTAATCCTATACCTGCTTTCCGTGAAAGCATACTTCGTGATTTAGAGTCCAGAGCTCAGGGTTAAGGGTTTCAGGGTTTACCTACATCACCAGGACCAAAGTTTCGTCGCACTTCTCTAATTTCATGTCGCGGAGGACGCGGAGTACGCGAAAGCG